CATTTCACACCTAGCTGTTGGGACTTTCACAATGGGGGTTGGTGGGTGTCCCTCAACACCAACCACTACTGGTCTCCTTGAGGCTGACTTATTAGTAATATTCTTCTTACACTGGCTCCTCATGTGTCCTTGCTCTCCACAGTTCCAACAATCTTTCTGGGTAGCAGCCTTTCCTGCCGTGGCATCTTCCCTGTGTTGAAGTTTCCAGCATTGAGCTTTCTTGTGCCCAGGTTTGTTACAGTGCCAGCAAAGTTCCTCAAACTTCTCTGAAAGCTGACCTTTTTTGGCCTTGAATCCTGACGACTGTACCAACCTTGGTACCTCTGTACTGGACTTAACGTAGGATTCGAATTCAAGAGCTCTGGCCATTGCATCCTGCATAGTAGAGGGGTGTGCTTGCTTTACTTGTGTGTTTAGTTGTGGACTGTCCAAGGCATCTACAAACTGATACCTCAGCAACAACTTGAGGACATCGGGTGGCACAATTGGGTAGGCCTTGTGTGCCATACATTCCAAGTCCTGTGCCAGCTCTTGCAGGCTCTCCCCTTTAGCACGGACTCTCGTCCTAAACCTATTCCTGTAGACTTCAGACTGATTTTGGGTTCCATACTTGAGTTCTAGAGCCGCTACCAGTGCTCTATATTTGTGTCTGTCGTCTGCTGACAACTGTCCAAGTATTTCCAGTGGTTGTCCCTTCATGCTTGTTGCCAGATATACTGCTTTCTGCTCCTCTGTCCATCCATTCATATCTGCCAGGAGCTCAAATTGTGCTCTATATGCTTCCCACGGTGCTTCCCATCGAATTCCTGCGGCTTCCTTCTTACTAGATCACCCATATTGCTGACATTCATATCTGGGATGTGACTTCTAACAGGACTGAAGATGTCTGCATTAGGGTTTAGCTGCAGGCTCTGGAAGGGGCTTCCCATTGTCCAAGGCTGATTAAGTCGATGGCTAATATATCTTCCTTGTGTAAAAGACAATAACTCATTCTTTAATGTATTTACTTCGCTTTGAAATTGACTAATGTTTTCCATTTGTGTACTCTGGCTTTCTCTCAATTGTTAGAGACTTTCTTCTTGTTTATTTTCTTTCTCTTCCATCCACTGCTGTAGTCTCTCTTTTTGTTCATTTTCTTTCTCCTCCAACCACTGCTGTAGTCTCTCTTCTTGTTTATTTTCTTTCTCCTCCAATAGCTGTTGTAATCTCTGTTCTTGTTTCTTTTCTTTTTCCTCCAACAACTGCTGTAATCTCTCTTCTTGTTTCTTTTCTGGTTCTCTTGTTTCTTTTCTTTTTCCTCCAACCACTGCTGTAATTTCTCTTCTCGTTCTTCTTGTTTCTTTTCTGGTTTTTCTTGTTTCTTTTGCTGCTCTTGTATTGCTGCCATCAAGTCTGCTAAGCTGTAGTTTGATTTGCCGCTTCTCGTTTCCATTTTTGTTATCCCACTCTCTGACACCAATTTGTTACGTTTCTGGTCGTTAGTTAATTTTCCGTAAAAATTCTTTCCGAAGAAACTTTACCGATACAAGTCCTTTCTTAAATAAAACTGGTTTATTCTTTCTGAATACAACTTTGCAATACACTTAATTTTCACAGTCACGCTATAACAAACGCTATAATTCACAACGAACGACTCAAGTGCTCGACTCAACAATACATTTCTCTCTGTCCGCAGTTCAATTACATTGTTTCCGTCAGTTCTTATTGGTCTTATATACCACATATCTAGTAACCTCCCGAGACTTCAGGAAGGGACAGGATCCTTCTAGAAGTTCATGACGTGTTACTAGCGTCATGTGACCCCCGCTGTCGTAACAATATGGACTCCAATATATTCGAAATATAAAAGACCAACAAAAATTATAATTCAAAAAACACAAAATACATACAAAACTTTGTAGTATCGATCTCTCTGCAATGCCCCATCATGCCAAAGAAGACCATGCACACAAAAAAATGAAATAATTCTAAAACATTGGGATATTAACCACATTCGAGAAACCGATAAAAGATAGCTTCTACGTCTGTCCCCTGGTGGTTCAGAGGTAAGTGTGTGAACGTCTGGTCTTTGTCGGTGGGAGAGTCAGGTTCAATCCATATTTTTCCTCCATTGTGTGAATTTATGATTCGAAAAATCCGATTTAAATAACCGCGTTGGGCAGATCACAGAGAGCCCATTGTGTAGTTTGTGTTTAACAGCAAACAAGAGCTTCTAAATCGATCACACTGATAAAACACTTCAAAAAGTTAGCATAGAAGTCAGCTAAACTGAATACTCCTCTTGAAAGTATTGTTACGCCTCCAGTCGTTAGTTGATTTTCCGTAACTTCGTTCCGACGAAACTTTAGCGACACAAGTCCTTACTTAATAAAACTGGTTTATTCTTTCCGAATACAACTTTACGATACACTTAATTTCAACAGTCGCGCTATAACAACGAACATTAACTTCAACAATACTCTCTGACTGCAGTTCAATTACTCACTACCTACACATTGTTCCATCACGATGTGACCATCTTATATGTACCAGACTACCCCCAATCTAGTAATCTTCCGAGGGTTCGAGAAAGAAGTGGCGTGATACTAGTCACGTGACCTCGCTGACGCAACACTGCCACCTCCTTAGTATTGTTCGTCCCGAACAATAGCCACTTACATTAAACCAATAACAATTAACAATAACTTAATTAAATGTACAGAATTACAATCACAAAATTACAATTCAACAAAGTCTCTTAATTGTATGGGACGTATCTTCGTCCATACTGGTCTCCGTCTCGTTGGCTTCTGCTTCATATGGGGTTCATCTGCTTCATCAGGAAATGTCCTATCGTCGATAACAGTCACATCAGTGGTAGTAACTTCATCAAGAGCTTCACCGTTTCCCTTCTCAAAACTGAGTAGAGTTTCTTCTTCAATGGTGGCTTCTTCAGGTGGCACGTCTTCAGCAGTGTCATTTGTTCTGTTGTCCACTTCGTCCCAATTGAAATGTTCTGGATCATGATAGTACCAAAGCCTGTT